TCTCTCTCTCTCTCTCTCTCTCTCTCTCTCTCTCTCTCTCTCTCTCTCTCTCACGACGAAATAAATATTATATAATTTATAAGGTCTTAAAACTGTCTTAACTTTCTTACGCATTTAGATAAAATATATATAGAAATTTGGTAATGAAATAGGTATAGAAATAAGGTATAGAATTTTATAAAATTACCTGTGACAGAAAGTACTGAGCTTCCGACAAAACTTTTCCGAAAATTTTCTCGTCAAGCAACTCAATTGGACACATGGAAAAACATTGCTCTAACGTTTGCAGCAAACATTCCGTATCGAGAGTGAGACTTTCATTTTCCAGTAAAGCGTAATAATTGATGAAAGTGTAAATTAAGGATTGATTAATATTATTTAATAGGCAGAGAAAAAAATTTCGATTGTACACTATCATTTTGAAAAGTAAATACGATGCTGAAACAACTTTTTTTTCAATGACATTATTAAATTCTCTAAAATAGAAAGATACAGTTTTACTTCTTATATATTTAACAGCTGATATAAATCTTAATAAATCTTTCATGAAAAATCTTGTTAAGCATCATATTCGCTTCTTAAAAATCATACAAATTAATTTATTGACATCCTTTCGTATTTTGAAATACGACAGGATTTTTTTATAGTTATATCTCATTCTTTGTATTAAAGGATATTTGCAATTTGGACACTTCGCTGTCGAGATCAAATGGCTCGAAAAAGGAATCAGAAAGATCAGATGATGCATTCCAGTCCATATCTAGAATATAACAATACATATATATAAATATTCGAATATCTAGCTCTAATTTATTAAGCAATAATAAAAAGAAGATAAGTCAATAAAGAGCATATGATTAAGGATTACAGTTTAAAATAATTTGTTATTCTTAAATATAAATAAGTAGGAACGTTTCGACTTCACTTAGTCTTCAGCCACGAAAAAATATATACAGCTCATCTTTTTTCTTCAATAGAAATTAGCATGCAAAAAAGTACCCAGAAAATTATAAATAACTTTTACATCAATATCTCTCTTCTAGTCTCACAAATTGGAATGTATTTATTTTTAATTAATTAGTTCATAAAAAAAATTAAATACTTATTTCTAAATATACTTTAATACATCGATTTATCGAGAGAAAGTTTAGTAAGAAAAACAATTGAAAAATTATTACTAGTTAAATAAACAATTATATGCTACTTAAATTGTAAAGATAAACTGTCTATACAATAGATTACAACACATTTTACTAAAATTAATTAGTAAGAAGGTACAGCAGATATAAAATACACTGATAATTTAAACTATTCGCTAATAGCGTATTTTCGCAACAGTTTCAAATGGAGATCGATCAACTGAGAATGTAATCAGACCTTCAAACTCCCCCTTCCCCTCTCCGCTATCAATCTTGAATAATAGGTAGAAACGGGGCAAATCGAAAATTTCTTGGCAATGCTCGAGGTTGCCAAAGTTTGCTGATAAGGACGTCAATTAAGGCAGCGCCAAGCTCTAATCGTCGATTTACCAAAAGTTTTCAGCTGTAATTTCTGCGCCATCGCCGGCAAGCGAAATTGTAACCCACTTCTCGAAAGGATTTAACCGATCAAATCGATACGCCAAGTCGATTTTTCGAAATTTCCCCTAAAATTTCTAAAATATTTTAACTGTCATTGTTTCTATACATATGATAATTATAAGTTAAATTATAAGTTATCTATTTTTCAGATAAAAAATAACGAGAGTTATAGAAATAAAAATATCACGGATAAATACTAGATGTAAAAAAAAATTAAATTAAAATAAGAGAAGATTGTGAAATTATAAAATGGATGTAAAGAAAAGAAAAAAGAATGCAGCGATGTAAAGCCAAGGGAAGATAACCGTACATTTGCAAAAATTGAAGTTGAAGAGAAAAGACCTATCTTGGGCAAGAGAAAATGAGTTCAAAATTGGTTCTCTTCGTCAACGGGGCAAGGCCAAGCAAACATGAAGAATTCTAGTCAGAGGAAGAGGAAAAGGGGAAGAAGAGGGGAAGAGTAAGGCGGTCGCGGGAGTAAACGAGCGAGAAAAGAAGTCAATCCGCGCCAGGAATTGGAATGATCGAGCCGTTGGACTCGCCATGGCAACTGCGGACAACAAGCTGTCAGATGATGGGCAAAGTTTTGATCAATAATACCGGCAGTGACTGGTTGCCTGCCGGCAGTTCTCGAGTTCGATATACGGAGTCGCGCAAACAGTGATTTTGACTCCAAACAACAGCACGTGGCTGCCGAGTTGTAGTAAGGACAGAGGGTGGCGAAGGGATTAAGAGAGGGTGGTTCCGACACGTGACGCAGCAGCGAGCGACGTGTACCAGGCTGAGTCACGGAGGATGGATTTGAGCGATGCGATTTTCGATCGAGAGATGCTAATTCTCGTCCCTGAATTACAAACTCGAGACTCGAGCTGCAAGTCGGCTTAGGAGTGGCACTGACTACTGATTGCCGACAATATGACTATTTCTTGAAAAAGTCTGACCTACTAAATTCGCGTACGAATATTTTACTACACTTGAAATAAAAAAAGTGACGCAATGAAACAAAGATCGAAATTTGTTATTAATAAAAGAATTTTTGTCTCTATCGAAAAAAAATTACAGAAAAGGCTTCTGAATATTCTTAAGCAAAAAATATTATTTGATAATTATAACTTAAAATATCTCCTACATTTAAAAAATAATATTATTTAAATGATAATAAGTCTTTAGCTGTTTTCTCAAAATAATTAAACAAAAAAAAAAACGATTTAAAAATATAGAAAAAGTCGCAGAAAAGAAAGTCTTTCTAACTCAATTAACGAAATAGCAAGAAGATAATTAGATCAATTCCCCAAATAGTTTCTCTATTTTCTATTTCTATTTCAATATCATGCAAAAATATATAAGAAAATAATTATTCAAAAGCACGAATATTACATGATCAACATAAAGAACTTTTTTTTCAAAAAAAAAGTTATCTCCTCTTTCTAAATTAAAAAAATTTATAAGTCATTTACGTTGTTTTAAATTTTAAATAATGAAATGGCTTTAATACTAATAATGAGAAACTCGATCAGAAAAGATTAATTTAAATTTCTAATAAATGTAACAAAAAATTTTGCCTCCTCGCACGATAGCTGTCTCTTCAAAATGAGTAATTTCCGTACCAAAAATAAAACAAAAATATTTTAGATGTACAAATTGAGGAAATATCACATATATGTAATATCGCGAAGTTACGTCACCGTGGCCTCGAGGGCAACGTATACGAAGTGAACGAGGAGTTCGACTACCTTGGTAGCGCTGACAGTGATCGTAATAACGGAGGTTAATGGTACCAGTACTACTATAGTGCTCATGTGTTACCTCCTGCTCAAGGAAGACGAAGGGAAGGAAAGAGAAAGCGAGAGGGAAAGAGTCAATACACCTGTACCTGATAAATGTGTTGGTGAACTAGGCTTGGACTTGGTACACACTGAAGATTGGTGGAGGGCAATGGATGAGGGTAGTCAGTCAGTCGGCGCTCGTTCGTGGCGCGTCGACAACATTCCTCGGTGGACTTTTTGCTCGAAGACTGAAGAAATCTAGATATATTCATAAAAAAAGATCCTCTTCCTTAATTCGACCTGTGCTTTCATCAAGGGATTGCTGCCTCGTCAATGAATGAATGCATAAATAAGTTCTACCAGAGGAGTTCTAGAAATCGTCGAGAAAACGCATCGACAATGCAAAGACAATTACTCGGGGATGTCTAGCAGCAGAAAAGCGACGCGACCCGTCAGGCAGCTGTCGTTACAGCAGCCCGTGCCGCGTCGACAGCAAATTAGACGACAGAGATCAGCGGAAGACGATTGCAGCAAGTCTTTGCAAATCTATGCGAATCCGATTGCGCGTGGAAGATTAGGGGCGACGGAGAAGCCCAAGGTACGGTAGTTGAGAATACTTGCTTCTTAATCACCGTTTCTTTCATCATCGTCTTTTTCATCAGACAAAGAGAACTTGCATTTTTATTCAATAATCGGAAAATTCCGGTTTTATATTATGGTGTAGTGATTTTCTCTCTCAGTGCATAATCTTAATAAATACACAAGAAAAAAGGTTTTCTAAAATATCTAAAAATTTTTTTAACTAAATACAGATCTGAACAGAAATTTATTAGCTCATTTTTAAATTAATTTCAATTTAGCATTTTGAATCTAGATCGCAGGACTTTTAATCATGATGATAAAGCTGAAAAGTTTTGACGTTCTACTAATCAATTTAAATATCTTACATATTTATTTTAATGAGCCAACAAAATATATTTTTAGTAAAAAAAGATACAAAATTGTTTGTATTTAACTAAATTTTCAGATACTTCAACAAAATCGTTCTTTACGTATTTTATTTTTTTTATATAATTATGTTATATTGACAGGTGCGAGTTGCTTGGGGTGATGATCGTCATGGCTGCGACAATCTGGCCCAGGTGGAAGTGGTGGCTCGACAGATCCCGAGTCGATCTAGACCGACCACAGGTCGATCTGGAAGAGCTTATGCCACCACGGAGAAGGCGTCGATCCTTTACTCGCGGCAGGAGCTTGCCGAGAGGCTACGACTCGCATGGAAGCACCGAGAGCAGAATAAGGCAAATATTGACATCTTCCTAGCACATGGCGTGGCAGTCGAGGAACGCTGCGATTCCCAGTTATCGATGTCCATTCCGCCGACTCCTCTTTCCAAGAAGGAGCCTAATAACACTGTTCAGAATGAAGAAAAAAGCCAGCAGAATCTGGCAACGCCGAGCAATTTGGAAGATCGAGGGAAAGAAACGTGTGAAGATTATGATAACGGAGATGAAAGATTATGCGAGGCAAAGCTGGAGTCTGCGATTCAATTGATTGAGAATGATTTGTTGACGAAAGGGGACGAGAAGGCAGCGGAAAACGTAGAAAAGAAGGAAAGAGATAACGAGGTATATACATCTATATACATTAAGAGAAAATGTACTGAGTTTTAAATTTTTCATAAATATTTATTTGAAAAGATTAGCCAAATATTTATTTAAAACATGTGAAAATATATGAATTTATTTGGTACAAAAACCATTTATTTAACTATAATTCTTCTTATTTAAAAAATATTCAAATTTAGTAAATTTTTTCTCAATTTTTTTTATGTAGATGAATATTTTTTCTCATGTTAATGAATAATTATACACTATTTAAAATGACATTTTCCAATGTCATTGGCTGCGTTCAACAGAAAAAATAGCTTTGCAACTCTCGGAAGATTCTTTATAATAATTAGTATATATAATAATTAGTCTGGTCCTTTATAGTTCCTCAGCGGATCTAAAAGTATAAATCATCAGTCATATATTAAGAATTTTACAACAGCTGCAAAGCACTGTATTTTCTGCTAAATGCAGCCATAATCTTTAAAAAATGGACGGATTACTGATTCTTTTAGAAATCGAATTTGCTCAATAATGTGGACATCGAAGAGGAGAAGAAAAAAAAGACACGTATAAATATCGACTGCACGACTCTTCATCTTCCAACGACCAATCAGTCGCAGTCATCAACCGCTTTTTCATCATTAAAGACAGAAAATGCGGATTCGGCAAAGACCAACGTCGATTTCTCGTTGGCGAAGCAGAAGCGCGCAAGTTTTCACAGCGGTACCAATCGCGCCTTTCTCGTGCCGATGGTGGAGAAGTCTCCGAAAGGAGCGGAAGCGAAGAGTAAGCTTGCACTGACTAAATCGATCGAGATCAGATGCGCTTCGGCTGATAAGACCACGATGAGATCGCCGATCGACAAGAATGTCGTTTTCACGAGAAGCTCGTCCACGGTGAGCCTGGAAAAAGCTAAAAGGACGAATTCCGCACCGCCACAGAGGCGGAATCTCGCATCTGCGGCGCGTGTGCAAGTAAACATCGTGATCGACGCGCCAAGTCTCACCGAGGAAGTGACAGATAAGTCGATCGTTTGTGAAAAGATACAGGATGGAAAAGATGCCGTGGAAAAGTACGAGGACTGTGCAATGAAGGTAAGTGATTTTCCGAGATTCTAAGAATTTCATGTGAATCCCCGGATCTCTCAGATTCCAGAAAGCAATATTGGATTCGCACACTTCGGACGTCATAAAAGATTTCTTGATAATAAAATAATTAGTAAATAATCGATAATAAAGATTTCAAAAACTCAATCGGATAAAAACAAAGATAGGGATCAGTACAAACTATTCTTCAGATACCACGAGGAGAGCGATCGATAAGATCGGCACCTTTGAAGAGGCGATCCAGAAGCGCGAAGAGGCGTTTTTTTGCATCATCGGGTCCGGGCAAGGATGAGGATCGCGGTGGACGAGGGAAAGCATTCATTGATCCCAAAACGAGCGATGTAATTACGATGGTATCGCTGGTCAGTTCGGCTGACAGCGACAGCGACGTGGAAAATTCGCCGGGCGACGATAAACTTATCAATGAGTTGCGCAGCAAACTACCCACCACGCCTATCATTAAGACATCCATCAATCCCAACCCCGCGACAGCGAGGAGGCCTATCAAGTCAGGTAAAAAATGTTTCTATTTTATTTTTATATAAATGAAAATATTTCATATGTAATAGTTATTCCACAAAAAATTATTCACAAGTCTATAAGATTCTCTCATCAACATTTGATTATTACTTTTTTTATATTATTAATATTCTTATAATATAAAGATTATTAAATTGTTTATAAGTTTAACATGTGATATTACTATTCTGGTTCTGTTCATAATTATGTTTTAAGATAAAAAAAAATTTTGGCCTGCAATATATGTATAAATTCGAACAGAAATATTTAAGCACTAAGATCTGCTTCGATAAAAAAATGGGATATCTCTAATTTAATTACATTTATTTTCATCGGTCTATTTCAAATTACAAATGTTCAATAAATAAATATAATGATGGCCTTCGAACTCTATTCTTAGAAATACTTTCTTCTATACTGCTGTTAATCGCGGATAAAATAATTTTTATGCTTGTCGCGTAAATTAGTATTTATCTAGCTGTGATCGCGCGGCTAGATAACGTTCGATAACGTATACGCGTGCAGTAACGAATGAGGCGAAGAGGCGTAGAACTATAATTGAACCGACTAATTAAGAGAGACACGAGACACGCGAGCCGCACATAGCGGAAATAATTCTTGTCAGTCTATACAACACTTGCATTCACTTTGCAATCAGCAAAATTCTTAATTTTATTATATGATTACTAAAATCGCTTAATTCTTTATTAATTTGTTTTGCATAAATATTCTTTCAGCTTCTATTATTTAGGAAATTAATTAAATCTTTTATAAATACTCTCTCTCTCTCTCTCTCTCTCTCTCTCTCTCTCTCTCTCTCTCT